CACACACACACACACACAAGTTTTGGGACTTTAATGTCACTTTTTTCTTCTCCTTCCTTTCTCTCTCTCTTTGGCTTTTTGTTGGTATATTCATTTTTTCCTATTAAATTTTTTAAACCCCTTGGGGTTTGGCTTGCTTTTTCTTTTTCCTAGTACCATCAAGGTTTTCATTTTTCCTTTTTCTTTTGGTTTTTGAGGTGCCTTCGATGGTAGTTTAGGAGGCTGCTCTTCCTAGTGGCTCATTGGTGAGAGGTAAGTCTAGTTGGGAGAAGGAGGTTGTGTCAGGGCATTGTTGAAGGTATTGATTAACTAGTAAATTCATTGGAAAGCATGTTAATGATGGGGAATTTAGAGTACAATCTATGTTGGTGATTCGATGCATATTTAAATGCTTAGTGGTGGCAGCACCAAGAAGATGTTAGTTAGGGGTTTGTTTGGGTATGATAGTGCTCATAGAGGAGACGCAACTGTAGTGCTGGAGTGATTTTTGGAGTTGCTATCCTTACAAACTCAAACTGAGATTTGTTGAGGAAGTTAAGGAATTGACAAATTTAGACATGTTTCAGTTAAGGATTTCACAATTGAGGATTTTTAAAATTTTAATATTTTGAATCAAAGATGTTGATGGTTAATTATAGGGAATGAACTTTTTTTTAGGGAATTACTTCCCTTTTTAAGATTTAGTTTTGTTTGTTGCTACTTAAAATGACTCAAAATTTCTAAGGTTAACTTTATTCACTAATATGTATCGTTTAAAATCACTGTAATAATAATCTTGAGTGAGTTTAAAAATTCTAATAATAACGTGTCGTTGTACTATTGCTTTTGCCTTTTATCAATGAAATTATTTGCTTTTTTTTAATTAAAAAAATGAATGAGCACAAAACGTCCCTAACCCATCCTAGTACATCAAAAGTCCAAATATATCAACAATCAGCACTCCTCAAATCCATATAATGTAATATCAATAATTTATTAATTTGAGTAGAAAGAATTCAAGGTATGTTTGGTTTAATTTTTAAATGTTTTATTTTTTTATATTATTTATATTTTATAATTTATAATTTTTCTTTTAATAATTTACATTTTTTAATTTTTTTAATCTTAAAAAAACTTCAAATAATAAAAACTCAAAAGTTTATAACCCAAATTTTTCAGAAACTTCTTTTTTATTTGTTTTTTTACTTTTTTTTCTTACTTAAAAGCAACTTTTAAATTTTTTTTAATAAAAATTTAAATTTATTACTTATAAATAATAAAAAAAAAATAAAAATAATAAAAACTCAAAAGTTTCTAACCCAAATTTTTCAGAAACTTCTTTTTTATTTGTTTTTTTACTTTTTTTTCTTACTTAAAAGCAACTTTTAAATTTTTTTCAATAAAAATTTAAATTTATTACTTATAAATAATAAAAAAAAAATAAAAATCCTTACATATTAACCCAAACATACTCTCAATTCCTTTAAATAAAATTTTAAATTTAAATTTTATAAATAAAAAAATAAGTATTAAAATAACTTCCAATTTGATTCTCAATCGGAGATTTAATTTGTCACTGAATAGTACGAAGTTAATAAATATAAAAAAATAAGTATTAAAAGAACTTCCAATTTGAATTTAATTCTGAATCGGAGATTTAATTTGTCACTAAATAGTACGAAGTTAATAAAAAAAAAAAAAATCTATACAATGTAATAGATGTCCATTCCGTTCCATAATCCATCCGACCAATCTGAAGGATTCGAACATAAATCTTACTCTAACTTGAATTTAAAGTTGTCAAACACTTACATCTCCTTGGAGGCACATTGCCACTAATTCTACCGCACGCCAAGTCATCCACGTTTTTTCACCTCCGGCAATCTTACTGCAAGCTCTCCTTCACTTCCAAACTACCTTATCTAAGCATTCCCAGCGGTTTTTACCTTGGCTGTGGTGGGTCCCCGCTCATAGGACCACCCATTTCAACTGCTGTGGTCTCCTCGTCCTCCTCGCATCAGCCAGCCTAGGGTTTACCCCCATTTCCTTTCCTTTCACTTCCTCGGATTCGTGCTCCTCCTCTGCAGAACCTCCTCCATTTCTAACCTTCCACCGCCGATATCTCCTGCTGGTTTCCCTTCCGGCGGCAGATATCCCCTTCCTCACCTCCCCCTTCCCTCTCCCCTCATTAAAAAAAAACCCCACAAAAAAAAAAAAAATTGGCTACTGATTATTTCTTTTGATTTATCTTTTATCGTATCTTTAGCGTTTGTTAGAGAATAACCAGGGGAGAGGGAAGAGAAAAATCCCAAAAAACAGAAAATTTTTTTTGTTTGTTTGGAGAAGGAAAAGGGTTTCTTTTTAGGGATGGCGCAGGTTCAGATGCAGGGACAGAATTCGAATGTGAACAATGGTGGAGGAGGGAATCAGTTTGTGCCGACGTCGCTTTACGTCGGCGATTTGGATGTGAACGTGACGGATTCGCAGCTCTACGATTTCTTTAACCAAATCGGTCAGGTTGTCACGGTTCGAGTATGCAGGGACGTCAACACCCGGCGATCACTAGGCTATGGTTACGTCAACTATAGCAGCGCCCAAGATGGTTAGTTTCAAGTTCTTGTTTTGGTGCTTTAATTAATTGTTTGTA